ACCAGAGGGTTGTCCTTTATAGTAAACAATTTTTTAATTCTCAATATTTAACTAAATTTTTAGATTTACAGAATAATGTCAAAAGCTTATTTTTGCTCTTTTGTCTTTTCCATTGTTTGCGCCATAAGTTGCGTTCATAATTGTCTTACCTCGATGTGCTCGATACTAATTTATACACTTTTACGCAACAATGCATTGAAAGAATATATTATTGTGCTTAAATATTTCCGTTCGGTTTTTGCGCATGTCCCTCCTAGCAAGCAGCGGTAAGATCAAAAGTCGCTTTCAAACATCATCTTCTACTGATCAGCAAGCATATTTAAGACGCAGCAAAATGACCTATATATCCTATTGTTAAACACACAGTAACCATAAAATTACAACATGATCAATTTCAGGAGTGCTTCGGACTCTCTGTACAAAAAACCAGGAAAATCTCAAAATGTAGACATTTACCGGTTGGACTCTCATTACTAGCTGCTCAGTTGAAAAACGGTTAATTTTAATTCCAGGTCAATAACCGAAAATTGGGTGTGCTAGAATTTTTCTGGATTTTGTGAATGTCAGGTCTTAATATAAATTAAGTATTTTTTTGAATATTGGAAAACTCGAAAGCCATGCAAATTAGAATTGAATTTTTTTCCAGTTTCTATGTAAGTGAAACAGTCTTAGGATAAAACGACAATGTTTAATTCCGTTTAACCATTAACACAAATTGAAATCGATTTCTTTTGTATAAGATTAAGTTGGTTTGACACCATTTAATGACGTTACTTGAAGTAAAGTCTCACTGACTTAGAAGCACACGAACTTTAAATAGCTTGGATGTTTAGGAGTAAAATTTTAAATTATGTTGACATCAAATATGCAGAACCAAAGGCCGTCGGCGTTTCGATCTAGTAAGAAAGTGCCTTGTACCAAGTGTTCAGCAGTAAATTGCGAAATTTACGAACAATATGAAACCGTATGAATAAGGAATCGAAACTTAGGAAATAAGTATAAAATGCAAGGATAGGGAGAACATGCTCGCTTACCTCATTTTGGTAAACTGAATAACATAACATTAGGTCTTTATTAGATTCTATTTAGCTCGAAAAAATTAAGTAAGTGGAGATTCTGATATATGTGTTACCTTTTAGACCTTATTATTAGGTCACTGATGTAAGAATTAATCTAAGTCACTTTGGTGTTATTAAAAAATCTGAGATAAGAATTATTTTAAAATTATGTTCAATTCTTCTCTATGTGTCAAAATTCGAATCATTTGAAAGAAAACCTGAAAGAACTAGCGGCATTATTTACTCTGGATGAGATCGTCTACGGCATTCTAATAACCAAGACAATGCACACTGGACCAGCTTTGTTCAAATTCGTTATGCATCTCTTAAAAAGACATTGTTCGAAATTGCCTTACATTTTTCAATGAGAAATAACGATCCCACCTAAATTGAGGCTGTCTACGTCGCCCAAATCAAGGGATTTCAAGCTATTTTGTGAGAAAATTTAAGTCTATAAGCTACAAATTACATGGATTCTAATGTTACTTTTTAAGGTTAAATAATATAATCTAAAAAAACTCATTCCAATCCTCATACCATAGTTTACCAAGTCTTCGTCAAAAGACTTGCCAGCAGTAACTTAAGTTAAACAAAGTTTCTTTAGTCCAATTTTCGCGACCGCTTTGGTGTGACCATTAATTTTCTTTCTCTTCCATTTAAATTAAGTTAGTTATCTAGTATATTTCATTCTTTTAGTCATCCATGTTTTGTAATCAGCTCAATTCCATGCCCAGTTGACCTCGTAAAAGACGCCATATTGTTAATTGAATGTGGACTTTGAAATTCCTGGCAGCATACAAGGAAATTAACCGATACAACTAGCATTTATAGGGAAAGTTCTACACATAACACAATCAGAACATACTGTGAGGAAATCCTAATTATCGAATAGACAAATACAAAATGAGCCATGTGGGCGAAATTTGTAAAAGAGAGAAATAGTCTGAGTTAGAGTCAGATGAGCAAGAGGACACAAGTTTAATAGTGTATTTGGTTGGCAAAAGTTTGCTTATCGGCTAAAGCGTCGTATCTGATATTAAGCTAGAAAACTTCTGCATAAGTGGTGTAAATAACACCTGCATAAGTAAAAGTGAACATACGCGCTGGAATCAGAGAACACCAAAATCAGCCCATTACAGTTGATTTTGATAGCAGTTATCGCGGATAAAAAAATACTGCGACAATAAGTAGAGTAAACAGTAAATGTTTAATAGTAACTGCATACAACTACCACTATTGGGGACTTTTAATAGTGTCCCAACTTGCCAGTATAGTAAAGCAAGGGGCTTGGATGAATATAACCTGTCAAATGTTACGTGTGTCATTATTCAAAACGCCATTACCAGTCATTTTCATCCAAATTTAGTCAATCAGATTTTATTGACATCGTCAGTGACCAGCAATTTCGGGTTCGATGTTTTTGAATTCAACATGGTCAATTGTGAGTGATTATACATACGGTTTTGGTTTTGTCAAACTCAAATCGTAGAGCATCTAATTCAAATGCCTTTGCTTGTTACTAACAAACGATAGCACCCAATTATGCAAGAAATTAGTTCGTGACTGCTGCGTTGGTTCTCCTGACTAGTCATTAAAACAATTTTTTAACATCTGATTTAATTATCAACATAGCTGAACTCCCAAAAACTTCTTTCGCTGGTGAAAACACAAAATCGGATCAAAAAATGATGCCATTCGGAAAAAATCGTGCAAACATTCTTCATAAATTGTATTTCCTGTACTTATCGGACCTCGATTGTGATGCTAAATTTTTGCAAAATGCTCATAGTGAAAAATTACATAAGCGCAAAGTGGTTATGACCAATGACGACAATTTTTAAATATTTTTTCCCAAAAGTGGCTGAAAAATAGGTAGCAGTCGTTCTCCGGATATGTTTTGACACTCTTGTTTTTAAATGTTGATGAAGACTAGCCACATTACAAAATCGAGAACTTAGTGCTCTAAGTGATTTGGGTATGCAGAGAGATGTCATCAGAAGTACCAGCCACGATTGACATGGTGTGAACCAAATAACTGTCATGTTTACGATTGCTTTTATCAAAGGTAGAGAGATTTTTTAGACATGACCCTAACATTTCCGAAATGCTTACATCACTATAATGTGCAGACTATAAACAGCCATTTCCAATGGTTAAAAATGCTACTTGAGCACAAATGTTAAAAAGGAGGGATTTTAATAGTGTTTTAGCACACCTACACCGACACAATGAATTCGATTCCTATATCTTTAGCATTTTGTGATGACCAATGAACAGACGTAAATCTTCCAGTGCAATTTAATCGAACCGTTTGAATGAAAATGTCACGAATTTCCCTGCGACTGAGCCGAAGCAAAAAAGGATGAGTCACCGCCTCCTAAACTGACGCATGCCATGACCCTGTGCAGAGATTTTTACTACCACAACCAAAACTTGACTGACACATTCAGATGGGGTAACTGGTATATGGTGTGGGCGGCCGTTAGAACAGTTGCAACCGAATACTGATTTATTTTTCCTGATTTTCAAATGCCTATGTGCATACCTTGAAATGTGAGGCAGTTTTATTAAAGTTGTTTTTCACGCACTTCACTTCTAACAGGGTATAGTGTTTGGCTACACCTTTTGACGTTGGTCAGTGCCTTTGTTAACACACACCTCAAATCCGGACCACGAAGCAACCGATGAACTTATCCCAACTCTGACATGCTTGTTGACCAAAAGGTCTGCATTGAGGCAGCCCCTCCGTTCCTCTAACCAATTCGCCTAGGTCCCGGGCTTGCACAAAAAAAACTAACTTTCCTCCAGCGTGTCCGTTCAGAACATCTGACCTTTGGCCGTTTATAACCTGAGCTTCACTCGTTACGGACTGACGCTACAGCATAATAAAATAGTAGCTACTAGTAGCAACTTCAAGTTGTTTTCAAGGCAGCTAAACTTTTCTTGGGAGGAAAGCAACTGCGGTAGAATGAGAAGCTCCCGACTTATTTAGCCAACAACAAAGCCCCTATATTTATTTCACTATAAGGCCTTAACGACTTAGGAGCCTCAGATTTTCTCCTCCGGTTACTCCTACGTTGTCCACATTGAAGAGATCACGGCAGCTAGGGTTTAAAACCGCGAATCCTTCCACATTGGTAATAGAAGGGCGCAAATCTGTAATGAGCAGGTGGCCACTCCTCGAAATGTTGACTAGTCAAAAGAAGTCTCGTCGTAAAGGCAGTTTACACGCCTTGAGGCTCGGGCCCGCCAGGAAACCCAGTAAAACTAATTTCCACGCTTTAGGACCAAAACATTTGCACCTGAACTGATGCTATGAAAAGACGGACAAAGTAGTACTTTGGCCGTTTTCAAGAGAAAACTAGTCGGACAAATTAGAATCTCGACTCTTTTGGACTAAATGGATCCCATGAGTTCATCCAACCATGCTGCAAAAAAGTAGTGATAGTGTGACAAAGGCCACTACTCCAGTTTCTTGACGACTGGGCGCCCACCAACCCGCACTGACTGATACGAACTTGTACAATGTGACGAAAAGATAAGTTGCAGACTTTGAACTAGGTAGTGGAATGAAGAGACATGAAAGAACAGGCGTTTCCTTGGGTTCGGCATCTATTTCACTACAATTACCGCACATATGATGCGGACAGTATACAAATAGTAAATTCGTTGAGGCCCCTTTCTTCATCGATAGTTGTGCTGATACACAAAATGCTTAGAGATAATGACGGATATCCCCGATTGCCAAGAACATGATTATAATTATTGAGATTATCAAACGCTTTATTAACCATATAGACCAGGGAACAGAGAGGAACGTGAAGTGGCGACGGCGAGGCTGCATGCACAAATGGGGTACTAAGAAATAAGACAAGAAAATGATGAAAAGGTAGAAGATATACATGTAGGTAAAATAAAAACGTTAAAGGCGAACACGAGTAACTACGCCACGGGGATGGCAGTCGGCTCAGGGCTTATTCCAGCTGGCGGCTCATCTTCAGCAGTTTTGGGTTCCTCGTCATTTTGTTCAGTCACCGTTTTTGCGTCAGATTTTTTGTCATCTACCAACTTATTTCCGTCGGGTTTGTCAGCCAATTCGGTCAAAATGTCACGGAAACGAAGCCAATGGTGTTCTGGGATAGTGACCGCTGTTCTATAATTGGCACGCAATTCAGAGATACGAAGAAAGACACCATAGCGATTAGAACCCACGTCAAAGAAAAAGGTCTTATTTCCGGCAAACAACACCTTTGCTTCTGGAAGGTCTGAAGTCGCAGCTAAAAAGGCAAGAGACGATCAGTAATGCTATTGAAACCTGTTAATACCTTTACCAGGTTGCTGCAATTAACCTAAGTAGAACGACTACACTGAAAAAATGTACGCTAAAGGCGCCTTTCCCATGCTGTTTCATGACCTAATATCAAAGTCAATTTTTTTAAATAAGTACTCCAGACATGACCAGAGCAATTTTGACGTAACACGTCTTTTGGGAGTTAATATACGAACAAGTTTACTTGAAATAACGAGATAGCTCACGTACATCTCTAAGTTTACACACAGAAATACCTTGCGCAAGTAACGTCCAAGCTTAATAAAACGAGCATACTCACCCAAGTCTTCCTCACTGCAGTAATCCTTGATAAGATCCGCAAGCGCATCTCGTAAATCGCAGACGCCTTCTGCTGGTAAGGCTATGTGGACACGGACACCCATTGAAAGCATTGACGCCCTAAGGAACCGACCTCGCTCGTTTTCCCTAAGGTCAAGATAATAGCGTCGATTATCTCGCACAATAGTTTCCGATTCAATTAAACCATCAGAAGCAAGAGACTTCGGATTGTGTGGTGGAAGTTCGTTTAGAGTTGCGATCAGTTTATCCAACCTTTCTCGTAGCTCCTGTGCCGCAGGCACAGACATTAAAATTCGGGATTTTTGACCTCCCAAACCAACTTCTGTAATTTTTATAAACCGACCACGAGAATTCTGCTTGACATCCAGGTAAAAGCGCTTGTTCTGAATCTGTATAGTTTTGGAGGCCAATTCTTGTTCTTCGATTTGAGGAGTTCTCCTGCGCTGTTCGCTGCTTCCAAGCATGTTTACTACCTGGGCTTTCGCTTACTGTCCAATCCTAAAGCCAGCTCCAAATTCGCCCTAAAAGGAAGCGACACATGGCTTTTGTAAAGGGGATGTCCGAATTAAAAATAATAAATTAGATTGGGTCATGCAACATTCAGAGAATGAAATAAAATTTCATATTTGATACCAATAAAAGCCTTAGCAATGACACAAGCACCAAATTCAAGTTCGCAAATAAGGTAGATGTAGAAAGTGAGAGGACAATACGAAAAAAAGCAACCAACCCCTATAAAATTACAATGGCTGTCAAATAATAATAATCTGAAAGTTGAGGTATTAAAACAAGAACAGAGCAAGCCATTACCAGTTTTGGTTTTGACATTACACAAAAAGTTTCATTACATAGAAATACTTTTTTGTTAGCTTTATAGTGCCACTGACAACAAATAACATAAACTAAGCCCTCTAACTAACGTAAAACTACCCAGAGATGCTGTGTATTGAAACTAGCAGTATGTTTGAAACTGAGCCCAAAGTAGTGGTTGTTAATAAGCAAATAATATTTGAAATAATTAGTTTGGAAGCACACATTAGCATAACCTCAGCTGTTAGACTTTGCTTTGTAGAAAAACATGTTCAGCCAGAAATATTCGTACAATTCTTTTTACTTTATTGATATAAAGAGGTTTCGGTATTCACTTAGGACTTCGGACTGGGTTTGTGTGGTAACTATGATAGCGTGTTTTTTACAACAGCTTAATGAAGCACTCACATTTTAGGTCCCTGTTCTGGAGGCACACCAGAGTCTGAAATGAGAAAAATGACGTGAGTTGTCTATCATTTAATGGTATTCATTCTGATTGGAACAATAAAATTACGAAAAACATTGAAAAGAAAGGTCAGATTTAGTAATGATCCATTGATTATTTAGCAATCACACATTACTTTCGTTGTTTGAAATCTTTAGTTAGCATAATTACAAAAAGTGCTTACATTCATTTATCATATATGTTAAATGTTCAGATTTAGTGAATAGTTTTTATTGGACCTCAAGACTAATTAGTATTTTTGGAGTCTTATAGCAAGCATTCCTAAGGGGTGCTAAATGAATCCTTTAGTCAGCGAGTCGATTTCAAGATAAAGTCCTTAACCCACGTGCGTTTAACCAACACGTACCAAACAGCAACGCGCTTGTATTGTGAATCTAAATATCTAATTCACTCAACCTACACACTGGACGGATTATTATATTAGATAGTTTGGAATAAAATATTTTTGGCATCCAATATTCATATTGCTGCATCGCATAACCCATAGTTAGCAATGACTAGGTTATTCCGGAAGAACAATCTGTTTAGAAACTATTTTCCCTAGATCCACGCTTGGTTTGACCTAACAAACAGCAGTTTTGTTTAATTAAAGCTTAGCAAGTGCAGCATTTTGCTGTTGAAAATAAGGCAATAACCTGGCAGATAACGAAAACTACAAGAATTCACATGTAGGTGCTAGAATTACTGTAATACTATCGAAATGGTTGCATTGGAAATTCACTATGTCTTACGCCCTCTGTCACTCTACCAAGGTGGTTTTGAACCTCCGTATGCGCACACTAACCATCAGTTTTGATTATCCCAAGATAATGGTCATTCTGCATTTTCCCTTACAATTTAAGTTAGATAGAAAATTGCGTACTTGAATCGTAATCTCGGGAAAACACACTAAACTACTTCGGAAGACCACATTGCTTAACGACATAGTTCCATTCACATTACATTATATGCTCAAGAGGAATGAACTATGTAGCATATCGAAATGAAGACGGGAGCTACCCACTCGAAAACACCAATCACTTTGATATTTCTATAATTTAACGTCTGATAGGAATCAAAAACGCCTATGTTGTTCGCTGACAAGCATTGTTTTGTGTTAGATTCTAAGAATTAAAATACTTTGCTCGGCATTATGGGTCCTTTACTACAACAGCACCACTTGAATCTAGCTTAGGAACTGGCCAGTTGGACAACTTCATTAAGAGAAATAATCTTGAAACACTTAATTGCATCACTTGGGCTCACAATACGGCTGTTTGGTGGAATAAGTCGCTCAACGCAAAACACAAAAGGCTAATAGTGGCAACGGCTTCACTAAAGTCAGTCGTTATTCAGTCTCGAGTGAGTCACATAAAGAAAACAGACAGCAGGGATAGAAAAGCTAAAAGAAAAGTCGCTTTTCCGAAGTGAAGCCAACGAAGGGGGTGATCACGGTGGCAGTGGAGAAGTAGAAGACAATGCCGCAAGCAATGGAAATGGGCAGGGCGGGTAAGGCCTTCTGAGCAAAACCAAGAGCAATGATGGTGAGGCACATTCCCACCAAAATAGCTACGTAGCAAGCCACCGCTGTCAGAATATCACCATCCAATGACGCTCTGCCGATCAAGAGGCTGTAAAAGATAAAATCCCCCAGCCCCAGTTTCACACCGCGCTCTTCACGGTCGGCCAAATCCTCCTGCAAGACAATAACAAAAGTATGGAAAGCAGTATAGGAGAAATGAAATCAAATCAAACTACAGAATTAAATTATAGTAAGGAAAGCCGCCAAAACAACCCGACTAGTACCAAAGCATGAAGTGAAATTTATGTAAATAACAGGAATACTGCACAGTTTACAATACAGCCACCCTAAAATTTTGAGACGGCTGGGAACTGACAGGAGATTAACTACACCTGGCGCGTTGCAACTAACGAATAGGGGCTCTGACTTTGGTAATTTGCTGCTTAGAAAGCGGGCTATTTAAACTACACACGTGCAGTACTCTCGAAGAAGCCGCGACAAAACCCAAGTAGAGGTACCTCGGCCAGTCAAACACTTAACGTATTACGGTGGTTAAACGTGTGTGCCTTTGAGTAAACTACTCTAACTAAATGCAACCAATGAATTCTCGGCAATAGTTTCATTTTGTAATGTACCTTCCTTAACTAACGCGGGGCGCTCTGATTTTTTTGTATGAATAATTTCCGTTTAACTACCCATTTCCCGTGCAGTAGTTGAATAGTGATCTAGAGGCCCTTCTCAAGCATTCAAATATGTTTCCTCAGAAGTACACATAATTAACCAGAGTACTACGTTTGGTGAGTGGGTAGCAGTTAATTACGCAGATTAATCTCTATTGGGTTTTGTTTGTGGCTGAAAAGCCGGCAACTAAACCCCAAATTAGCATTGCTCAATCTACATCTCAGCTGGCGCTACACCTGGTCAGTAAACAGCAAGTAAAAAAAGGGAAAGTTTACATTGCAATGGTTGATCGCACTATGTGAAAGCGCATTAACAAATACAGATAAAGCTTTTTGAACTTATGAAACGAATCAACGTTAGTATTATGCATCGTTTGTAGCTTTCATCGTTCTCACATAGACTTGCACCACACGGCTACAGAGACATTTGAGAATGCTCGCGTTACTTAGTTTTTCTTCATGTTCTAACCCATCAATCGCCTTGGTAACATAAGGGGACTGCCAGCGTAAATGTTAAAACCACTGAAACAATTCATAAATTTAATATTTTGCTTATGTCACCGCTCAGATGGTTGCTTTAGTAAAATTACCCATCGAGTGTCCGACAGTTATTTTCTAGGATACACAGTATTAAAAATTTCGGTGACTTATACTTGCTTGAAATTCTATTACACTTCTCTAAGAGGCAATTACGAATTTCGGACCTCTAATTTACGTACAACATTACCTCCAGTATGATGGAGAATATTCATTAAGGGAGTTGAGGGGACGTTAAGCAAAGTAACAGGAACCAACCTGTAGGCGCCTTAGACGGTCGTTCGGACGGTCGGCGTCGCCAGCACGGCTGGGTGCCATTTCGTGAGACCCGGCGTCACCTTCTCCAGTGGCAAGCGGCGGCGTGGGGTTCGGGGGTTCTTGATGGTTTCTGTTTCTCCTGTGTCGTTTCAACCATCCTCGTTTTGTTCGATTTACGTCCTTACAAAAAAATTTAATTAAAAAAGAAACCAAAAAGCGCTTACATTGATTTCCCCGTTCGGCTTGCTATTGCCTGCTGCTGACTCATCTCCTACAAGGCATGGAAATCCTGAGTCAAACTTTGCTACATTAGATGAGGGGCAGTGACTTTCCCTTGCGCACTCGCAGCATCTCTGATCGAAACAAGCTAGTTTAGGCGGTAGTATAGAGCAATGGGCCTTGTCTCTGTGTCATTTGTCGTGAAACTGGCAGCCTGAAAACCCAGAACTACTGGTTGAGACATTCAACACTCGACAATATGAGGAACAAACTAAAATTGACATAGAAAATCAGTTTTCATCAGTATCCGGAATTGACGGTGCTTCGGTAGCCACATATCAGTTGGGTACCTTAAAGTTTACAAGAAAAAAGGCAGTTGCATTACCCGTATTTCTGGTGATCGGCTTCCGATGGCTCCCAAATTTTAACATTTAGTCGCCTTTAATAGCGACAAAATAACTGTCTCTAGAAGAGTGTGTACAAAACAATTTTGTCGAATGCTGCCTTAATCAGTACTAAATATGCATCTTAGAATCTGACGACAAAAGGCAGGATTGTAAAAAAAGGCATTCATAAAAAACGGTTAGGGCATGAAATTTTCTGTTTGATTTATTTGAACAGTTACGATAAAGGGAGGTAATTCTGTTGTGATCGATAACAGGCCTATTTTGCCAGAACGGAAACTTGGAAAATTATTAATTGAATGGGCAAACAAGACAATTTGTGTGAAAAATGATGTTCGGGAATAAAAACACGCAAGGCTGTCTGTCCGGAGGACGAGAGAAGCCCACAGGCTGATGTAAAGAAAGGGTGGATGAACCATCAAGAGACGTCTATAGTAACTTTGGCTTCGTGTATGGACATGCCACCTCAAGGCTAATAGCTTCACGCACTTACAGCTGCAGCACCTATCAGTTTTTGTGCTATTTTTTTAAAATCGGCACCTCAATATTGTTTTGACTCCTTGGAATTGAAGACCCCAAAAGGCATATTCTACGTGCGGTGCCCGGGGAGCTCGAACAGAGGCTATCTGATGCGCATAAGGGTAAAAGAGAATACCACCAACCCAACATCGACAAAGGCGCTCCGAAACCATAGGAAAACCTATGCTTGAAAATATTCACCTTTTCCAGCAGTGTGGAAACGACGGACTTGGATCAGAAAGCGCTTATGAAACTATCGGCTTGTTACCTGGTATGTCCATTACAATATTCACTAAATTAAAAGAATTCGAGGAATCTAGAGATAAGCACAGTAGTTGTGAGATGTACAATAGAGGATCAAAATTGAAAGAGCCCTAGGATTTCCTTAAGCTGGTGGTTTCAACTTGTCAAGGGTTATTCACTAATCTCATGAAGTGCGCAAAAGAGGATACCTGAGTCGGTGGGTTCGATGGAATGCGACCCCAACGTCGACATTGGGGGAGCCTGTTTAACCAGAGGCTCGAGAGGCAAGGGGAAGGCATGTGAGAAACCCACTTCATTGCTGCCTCGCCTTGCGCAAAGGGCATAAGCACTAGTTGTCGAGTAAATCATAGCAGGGTGCAAGGGGCGATTGCGTTTCTGAGCCATTTCGACGAGCATTCGCAATGGACCACGTGGACAGAGGACTGCTATTAAATCTAAACGAAAGGAGCATGCATACAACCTGGAGTTTAAACTCTTAAAATAATGAAGTCCCTTTGCTATTCCTAAGACAATACAACCTCATTATGATACCCTTAATTTAAAAGAGCCACAACTAACAGCATCCACTAAATCTAACCCATTGTATATGCAAAAGAGTGACTGTATTAGTGCATCGATTATTTAAATTGTTCTAGCATTCAACACGGCGCCTACTATGTAAAACGCCCAAATAGACCCAGCGGAGATCGCTGAGTGAGGGCGATTTCCACGAATTACGGTGCCATGTTGGCCAAAAATAGCATTGAAGGTTTTGTCGCTAATGAGGACAGAGAAGACCCTGGTGTTCACCGTTAGAGGGAGCCACGCTTGGTTAAAATGTGCTTCGTTTAAGTACAAACGTCTTGCGGTTAAGATGCAGACGATAAAATCGGAGAAAGCCCCTCACGTGGTAGTGTAAATTACCGAACAATGAAAACAAGTCACCTGCTACCACCATGATTAAGCAGGGGAGGTCAGTTAGATAAAGCGAATTTGCACACTAACAATTTAGAAAGTAGACAGATTCGGACTAGACCGTACATTTGAAAGCATTCAAATCCTCATACGCCGTGGAACTGTACAAAGAGAGTAGCTTACCCCAAATAGCCATAGCACCAAGAAGGACCCAACACGTCCACTTAGGCAGATACTTAAGGAAGATTAGGGCCATTAGAACGCTGTTAAAAATGAGGTAGGCTTGCTTCACAATAAGAGGACTGCGCCAGTGAATAGAAACAAGACCCATCACCCCGAAGTTCCACAGAAGAATGGCAAATGTGATGTTGTCAAAAAATATCATGGAGGCTCGAAGAATTTCACTAAAAAGATAGTGGTTAAGAGCACTTGCATTTTGCTCCATTATCTAGAATGGGATGGCACAAAAGCAGAAAAAGGCAGCATAACTTATAGTGATTCTAATGGCGACTTTGTGGTGGATACTCTATCTGCCTCAGTCGTAACCACTAGCTTACTATAAATATGAAGAAGTTTATCATCTGAATTTGATAAACTAAACGTTAAGCCGAACATGAATTTAAGAGATGCATGGAAGAGTGCACAACATAAGATTAAGGATGGCATTACTTCTAATTATTCCATATGGTTCTTGAATGTTTAAGAATTTGTTCAGAAGTAGTGGGCGATCATAAGGCGAATTAAAAAGATGTCTTGGAGATATTGAAGTGAGCATGGGGAACACGTGGCGTCACATTAAACAACAGAACAAATAAGAGACTACTCAACGCCAAGCTATACTCCAGGGGTTAATAACAGAAAATTACAATACAAACTTAATGCTTACGTAAAAAACATGAAAGACATGACAAAGACAAGAATAAACGTAGTTGCGACAAGCCAGCCAGTGAGACACTAAAAATAACAAAAATGTGACAGATGAAGGATTTCTTTTATAAATCTAAATGACGCCTACAAGGCAGAAGCGAACTGATTGAGGTTTGCATCTCAATACTAACCAAGGCGCTCCAGTAAAAACATTTCTAGGAGTTGGCTGTGTACGACTATGGTATGCGTCTAAATATTGAACAAATAAGTGCTTTGTTGCTTTAAGAGTAACACCTAAACATGAATGCGAGTGATTTTCATCTCAAGGCCTCAAAGATGACACAGGTGTACCAAATCTCGATAATCGCCAAATTTCAAGCATACTCTGACTCTATGATCATCGACTCTTCTTAAAATTCATGTGGCTTTGCGGTCCTTTCTAACTATGCACTAGTGTGCACATCCCTAGGTCCTCAGCACTGATGTAACCAGACCGAATCTAACGAGATTGAAGAATTAACTGTGAAGCTCCATCCAGCACCGAGGTATCACTAGCGTTCAGCAGAGAGGCCCCGTTCTCTTAAGGCCAAGTCAATCGTAATTCCACGAAAAGGGTTATATAGATGAATTGGATGGTAAGCTATGTAAGTAACCAACGTAGCAGTCTTAATAGGCAAAAACGTCGTACTCCTTCAAACAGACGTATTCGTACCAATAAACTAGTGAGTTAGGGGCGCAAAATACAATTTACGAACATAAGAGTACAAGCCAACAATTACGTTAGGACAACAGCCTAGGGGGGAATCATTGCGACATTACAGAATAAGAAATTTGTACAAAGACAGTGGATGGGAGGTTAGCTTACTTTGTAACACTTGAACTTGAACAGCAGCACCAGAAGGAAGGTCATAATGACTACGACGCCCAAAAGTATGCCTACGTTGGCAAGAGTCTGCCAGGTTTGTGTGCCAATGTCTGCATTTGGAGTGTTAAAAGGTGTATAAATAAGGTAAACTTCTGTTGAAGCGAAGTAAGGCACTGACTTCGCGATAGCGGCAACAATGAACATGCATAAAGATACGGGAATGAAGAGGCTACAAAAACAAAGTAAATAACCATAAATAACGATCCATAAAGCAAGACCGGAATGCGTATCCACGAATGATTCTTACAAAAATGAAATGTTTTTTGAATTTCGCAATTCCTTGTTAGCGTAAGAACCTAACAATTTTACGCAAAACATCAATGAGTTTACCTGGTATTTTCAAAACTCAATTTACTGAAGCCTCTGACCATCAAGAAATATTAAATAGTAAAATAATTGAAACCCGTTTAAAGCACACTCAAAATTAAATCGAACCAATAAAAAAATACATATTGTTCCGAAGTTAATTAACGGAATTTACTTTCGCCCAACCCTGATAATAAAAAAAGATCTAGTACATCTGATTTGAAGAATTGAATAAAACTGCAAATTTACATAGGTCACGAATATCTGGCGACCAGGCCGAGCAAAATAGAGAGTTGGCCGTTTGTGTGGGCTATAATAGAGTTGCACTGCTGGCTGGTTGGATCCGCTATTTAGATTTAACTTTGCAATTTAGAGCAGAGCGATTTCAAACTATATATCTCCGGGAAAAGACACGACAAATAATGGACTACCACACACATGCTAGTTCTTATTATGCAGTGGTCAAAAGTTTCGAATAGATTAGCATTCTACTGGCAACCGATTTAGGACTTACAAACGGCAAATTGAACAGTCGTATGAAGTGTTGGCACAATTATATTTCTTTATATTTGGTGTGCACGCACTTGACAAGAAATCCAGGCATTGACTCAATTATAGTTTGATAAAACGTTACCAAATAGCGTGGGACAGGGCTAAATAATCATAGGAGCCAAAAGGCTCGTAAACCAAATGACACAAACGGAATACCCACAAACAAGGATAAACAAAGTTCTGAAGACAAGTAAGGATTTAACGCAAGCACACCTGATTATCTGCTTTGCAACAACACGAAGAATGAACTTTGGGTCAATGTTATCACGAACATTTTCACGGCACTCTCTTGGCTGATGATTCATTGTCCTACTAACGCGGTCAGTTGAAGTAGTACTATCTCCCAACGACACGTTGGAGGCTAAAAATATGTTTAGATACAAATGTCTTAATTATTAAAGCCATGAAATCAGTGTAGTGGTAAGATGCAATGCGGAAATTGTAAATTCAGTAAGAACATTAATCTAATAAAAAAACGTGTTTTACTAGATATTTTACACCGTAAGCGGAGTCACTTTTGCCGCTATTTACAAAATAGTCCACAATGTTTTGGCCAACCGAAAATATGCCATATTAAAGAGAATTTATATACCCAAAGCAATGCAGAAAAAAATGCACACAATCCGATTTGATTTACACGAATTATAATGAACACCACAACCATAGATGAATTAAACAAAAATTTATTACCCCGTTCGTCGCATATATTAAGTCAGTGGTTGGAATAAAAATTACCGAATTTTTCCACTTAGGCAAGCATCATATTTCCTGAAGTTACAGATTCCCATTGCCGAAAAAAGTTGCATTACCAGGAACAGAAGGAGAAATAAATATCTGAGCTATATAAGAAGAGTACATATGCGGGTTTGTTTACAACGAATGCATAACTTAACCATACGGATTAGGCTGGTACTTCCCTTATATTAAATGAAAAAAAGATGCTTTCACATTCAAGAACTAAACAATGTCTTCATAGTGGGCTCAGTTTCCACGCTAATCCTTATATTTAAATTTACAGTATTACGTAGTCTAGAATATGGAATGATTTTACCGAAATACTAGGACTCTGAATTTTCAAACCTGCATTTCTGGCAACCTATTCTTCTTATAGAATTTTTAATGGACACTTCTAGAGTGTTAGAAGTAGATTTTGCAGACTTAACCTCATAAATTTAATCGATGTTTCTGTTATGGAACAACACCGCTGTTTATTTTGTAACTTCAATGATAAAATGGCAGTTGTGGGGTTTTTAAAAAATTAATAGTTCACAAGCTAAATGTTGAAGAAAACTCGCTGTTACGTTGCCTTAATTTAGATTTACAAAAAATCGGCAAATCATATACAAATCGACAACTTGTAGCGCCCCTAATTTGTTCTGTAATTTAGTGAAATATCAGTATTCTTTTATTTATATTTAGTGTAATATGAAATTAATAAACGCGGTTACCTTCTAATGTATTTTCCTTTTTGTTTAATAAGTAAACACGTTTAAATTTAATTAAATTTTTTTTATATTTACTAACATGAAATTGCGGTTGGATCATGACTTAATGTAGGTACCTTTCTTTATATTATGTAAATTCTTCAAATTTATTCCTAGAAATTATTCATCATCTGCTTCTCTGGTTGACCTTCTGGCACCGTAATGAATTTTTCTTCTTGTGAGCGATTAGACATGTAAGAGAATTGTTCTATTTCCCTGTTCCTGAAAAAAATGACCTTTCATGTAATTGTGTGGTGTAGAATACCCGAGCCCGAATGGGATGAAGACTGGTACAACAGAATAGGCTTTATTGACCAATCACAAGCCAGAACCACAAGTAAGGCACCTGCCATCCGAGTCCACCACGCTGGCCACGCCGTTCATTTTATACTGCACCTCATTCGTGTACTTCTCTGGTTGGCTGCTTACATTCCTCGCATGCCATTGAAGCACAGAGAGACAGATGATTAGCTGAGGCCAGCGTAGTCCAATATGTCTGCGCCCTCAGACGTCGCTACAGCTGCACAACAACGGCCTCACCTAATCCTCTCTCTGTGTTTCAATGGCATGCGAAAAATGTAAGCAGCCAACCAGAGAATGACACGAATGAGGTGCAGTATATAATGAGCTGCTTGGCTAGCGTGGTGGACTCGGATGGATGGCGCCTGAAGTGTGGTCCTGGCTTGTGATTGGTCAATAAAGTCTGTTCTGTTGTACCAGTCTTCTTCCTTCTAGAACTCGGGCATTCTACAATTGGTGTATCTTCAATTTAAGATATGTGTTTAAAAAAAGCATTTAAACAAATTTTCTTACTTGCTGAGTAAGCTATCCAAAATGTTTTTTTACTGTCCTAATCATACACAAAATGCCTTTGATTCCGTTTTAATACATAGATGATCAATTTTTTTCCTATGAATTTCACTCTTGTTTCTTGGAGTTGAGTCCTTTTTGATTTATATTAAAAATATAATTGTTTTGTTTTACTTTTGAATCATTTTTTTTCATAGTACAACTCCATCATATATAAGGATCATTTTTCTCTAAATCATACCAGTAGCACTTTATTTGCAAACGTATGCTATATATTGACTCATTAATTGGCCTTGTTTTTACAAGGGTTTCGTAGTTTTATTAAATGAGATTATTTTGGGGGCGTTTAGCAAATGTTTTCCAGAGAGTTCTTACCAATTTTTTTCTCATGTAATTGACTCGTTTGGCTATCTGCTTTTAGTCGTTGGCAGTAGCATTACTGAAACCCTAAGCTATGCCAAACTGCACGGAAATGTCCTTAAAATAAATATTGGCAAAACTTGATTTTTTAATTTCTTTGCTGTGGTGGCACTATGTGGATACTAAAAATGCGACAATAAGTTTAATGAAATACTACCATCAGTTTACAAATTCGTTTTGTCGACATTCATTGCAGGAATTTACATGTACTGTACACAAATTCACACCAACTATTTCGACCAGTTTTTTACATCATTTCTAAAAGTTGCGTTATCAAAGATTAAAATAAATGGGTGGGCCTAACCGTATGCTATTTATTTATTAAGTGAAGTTAAGAATGTTAGTCACAGTTATCTTGTCGAAAAATATGCTACTAATTATTCCTAATTTTAAAATAAAGAGAGTACGAAATAAGCTATTAGGGCTTAACTAAAATGGCAGCTATTTCAAGATTTGACAAGTATCCTGCAAGTTGAGTAGCATTAACTACATAATTATCTTGTCGCGAGTCCAAATTTTGAAGACCTTTATTATTACACACTTTCCATGATAATTGCTCTTTTAAGTATTACAAGCCATCTCACCCCTATATGAAGCTAAGCATGTAGTGTGTTATCGATTACCAAATTTACCTTAAAAGCGCCAGAACAATCTAGCTAACTTGACTCCCTTTAATGGAATAAATCACTTCACCCCTGGAATTTTTTCCCACACTTGTCCTGCTTGTAATCGCTCTTTATTTTGTCAGACTCAGGCTTTCAGGTCTTACATCGTGGTCCCGACTTTTAATTGTCCATGACTGCATTTTTGTATCTGCGCTACTTAAGTTTAACTTGCTAACTACAAAGATGTGTAAAATGTCAGAAGTCTAATGTGATCGGAAAATATATACATGAAGCATTCGAAATGAGCCTTTTTTAACAACGTTGACTAGTAAAAGCTATAATTCACGCACAGAGGCAAAAAACGAATCATAGTAGGCCTGGTGAACGGTGGATGGAAAGAGTAGATGATTAAGAAAATCAGTTGCCACGGTTATGTATTCCATCATGCTGGTCACACAGATACATCTCTAAAAATGTGTATTCCAACGTGGCTTGCCAGCTAAATTAACCCTGATTTGTTACCCTGGCTTACAGTAAGTAACGGAAAATTAGCCAAGCAAATCAAACATTAGTCCTTAACAACTGAACCAAAGTCGATTTCTAAGCCGAAATCAGAAGCGAGCTATGGGCATCTTGGTTACAAGTTCCAAATGAATTTTCAATTTTTGATAATATAAAGGTACTGATACAATACGTCAGTAAAAGTAATTCCAACTAGTTGCACAAACATGGATTACGTAACGTTACACTCGTTACTAAAGTGAAAGCTTGGCTTGCGATTCGCTTCTTAGAATGCCGATGGATAAAACAACCTTCATCCACTTTCATTTAAGGCCTCTTTGCAGACGTTAAAGGAACCATTTGATTACCTGTCCCTACGCATTGCATGATCCAAGCAGGCCAATAGTCGGCGCACATTCCACTGCCTACCCGTGATTTACAGTTTATTATTGGTTACCATTGCTCATTGTAATAAAACGCTTTTGCTGGGTCTTAGAATTTTCCTAGTACAAGTGCACGTGATTAAGCGGTGATTTGTAAAATGCATGATTAACTTTCTCATCGCCAACCTGTAACAGCGTTATTCGGAAATTTCAGCATTTCAGTTATTCTAATTTATGCAAAAAGTGTCCACAAGTAAAAAAATTAGGGTTAATTTTGTTAGCTATTACGATCTATTGAACCTGCGTTAGCACTCGCTTTTCACCGTTACCTACACTTAATCGTAGTTTGAACGATTTAGTCAAACCCCAAATACTTGGCCTGAAGAACAGAGCACTGGTTATTAACAAATGTACTCAATTACAGTTATGTTCTAGTTGGTTTACCATTGTCTCTATGTGATTGCAAAAGTGGCTGTTTAACCAGCCTTACTGTAATCCACTGACCTAAGTTATTAAAGTCACCGCAACTTGTATGCGGACATTAATAATGTACATTCACTTGGCCATCCTCTGTTATGAAGCTTAAGTGCTTCAAATAACAACTTATCGTTTCACAGCTCAATTGCTTTTCCACACTCTGTTTCATGGATTTAGTCACTACTTACACTGAGCCATTCTGTTTCTTTTTAAGCGTTTTCTAGTGTTGCCTTTTTCAAAGGTCGACGTCGACTCAGTGTTGCAACGGTCTCTGTGTAGTCATTTATAGACCGATAACATCCTTCTACCATTTCACTTAGGGTAGTCGCCATTAATACTGCACTAATGAATGAACTGGGTATGTGTCATAAAAGCTTTCACACTGCAAAAGAATGTGCTAAAGCAGTTGAGTCATCAGTGG